AAGAAGAAGAAGAAGAAGAAGAAGAAGAAGAAGAAGAAGAAGAAGAAGAAGAAGAAGAAGAAGAAGAAGATCATGCAGTGCTCCGTGTGGTGGCACACACCTATAACCTTTGACCTCTGGGAGGCTGAGGCAGGAGGGTGACAATTTGTGCCCGACCTGGGCAACTTATTGACTTACCAAGAACTTATCTCACAATTTTAAAAAGGGGCTGGGATAGAGCTCTGTATGAAGGCCCTGGGTTTAATCCCCAGTAACACACATACACACCACCTTGAGCTCAGGAGATTGGCTATAGATGTCACCTGTTGCTATGGGTGCAGCTGAGCCCATAGGACCCCAGGTACCAAACATCATCAGGGAGGCTGCAGGCAGGAAGCATCATTTTGTAAATCAATGGAAACTGTGAGGAGGAGGAGGTGGGATGAGGGCTTCTCAGGACTGCGGCTGCCCCGGCTGCTTAGTCAAGGCGTTGCCACCGTAGCCTTGATCACTGACTGCAGTGTAGCAGCAGGACACCTGGGAACACACCGCGTCGCTGAAAAATATCCTTCCGTGCAAACATGCCTCCTACCTGACACCAGCGCCGTCATGTGGGCTGGTGTAGGGAACAAGTACTGAGATTATTTCCAAATTGATCTTGCAGTCACACATGCCTGTTGCCCAGTGCTTGGGGGGTGAGGGTTGCTGTGAGTTCGAGACCAGCCTGGTATATATGGAGAATTCAAGGCCAGCCTGAACTGCTTAGCGAGACCCCTCCTCAAAATAAATATATGAAGGTGAAGGTCTGAGAGTCAATCCCCAGGGCTGCAAAACTAAATGCATAAAAAGTAGTCTCGGGCAACCTTCTCGGGTTTCCCTTCTGTCCCTCTCTCAGACAGAAGCTTTCTTTCCCCCAAAAAATATTCTGCTCTTAACCCTGAAAAAAAGAATATATAGTCTTTGTGTAAGACACAGCTCCTTGAGTCAGGTGAGTCTCTGGGCCTCAGTTTCTCCATTTGTAAAATGGGGGGATGAAGGTCTCACCCCCTAGGTCCTTCATGATAAAAGCCTTTTAATTAAACACCCATGTTACAGGTTTTTTTTTTTTTTGTTTTTTTTTTTATCCAAAATGTGTTTATTGGGATGGCTTCCCACTCATCTTGATTGAGGGTACTGTTAGTGCTGCTTCCTCCTGAAGGAACATCCTTCTGTGAGCCTTGCTTTCCCTCCTGTAGGCTGGCACAGGACAGTGGAGCAGCCAACACACAGAACTACCGTCTGTGCATGGCTAAAGACCGTGGTGATTTTATAGCATCCTGGGCACTTCAC